TCTAGCTGGGCCTCTGGCGCCTGTTTTTCGTTACTGCTACTCATATTAGAATTTAAAGAACGAGACAACAAAATATTGCTCTTTATTCCGCACAAATGTGCGCGACGCGCGTAACGTATGTAACCTCGTGGTTACTCAAGAAACCAAATTTTAAAACTCTTAGCCTGCACTGCCACTTGTTCACGACCAGCAAATGCACGCGAGACATGAATAAGTTCTTTGGAGACATACGAAATGGAGCTTCTGCTCAGTGCCGCGGAGTAGACTCACTTTGCTCCGGAGCAAGTTCTCCTGGGCAAGTGCTCATTTTTATTCATATGACCCATTATGATGCAGAAGTTTTAAATTAAGAGAAAAAAGATTTTGCGGTAAATATTTATTAAGTTCAAACACTATGTTGTCAGTTAATCCCAATTTGTATGATATAGAAACTATTATGTATGTCAGAGCTGCGAAGATGCGCGAGCCAGACAGAGTGAATCAGCTCGGCAAGCAACACTTTTTTTTTTATTAATTATTGATCTATTTCTCACTATATGTTGAATAGTTATTTTATTATGTATTACTCAATTAGGACTTTTGTTTTTATAATGTGAGTGCTTTATAATATAAGCTATATATTAGAAAATGTAATTATTTTAAAGTTAGCTTGAGATTTGCACGGTATTGACATTTTCATGTGCGTTGTCTATTTATGTCATTTTTTTCGCGTTTGGTTCTTAATAATGGTGTCTAGTCTAGAGATAAGTCAGATTAGCATTGTAAAAATTAGATGTTTACAAAATAAATTCAGTTAACTGATAATTAGTAGATTATGTTAGTGAAATATTTGAAAGTAAAAACTACTCCTGATCTATGAGATACAACAGACTTGTATCGTTGGACCAATTTTTTCTTCAAAAATATAATTTAAACCATATTTTAAAATTAGCTCCAGATCATTGAAAAATAATATTTTATAGAAAACATTTAGGTACTTATTTTCAAACCTAAAACTAGTTAATAACCATAAAACTGAAAGGAAAAACAATAAAGTATGAAAAGTGGTCATAGGTACAACGTGGTGGATCATTAAATGATTTCCCTATTCCAATACATTTGGAAATGGAACTGGCAGAACAGAATTGGGAAATCTATGGCCAAATATTTTCCCCCTATGTGACCTCACATTGGCTTCTTTATTACAGGTGTTTTAAAATCAAGTAATTTCTAACTAGAGAAAAATGTTAATCAACAGATTAAATGAGATGTCACTGAATCTTTGACTCTGAATCCGCTATTAAGGAATAGTTCGTATAGATTTTTTCCATTGTTCGTGCAAAAGTCTGTCACCATCTTATCGCCGGTCGCCGGTGCCGTGCTATTGTTACTTGTTTTTCTAGTTTCTTCGCTCATCTTCCCCAAAATTGTCTTTCAGAAGCTTTCCGCTACTTTTGCAACATCCTCTACATGGTACTCTCTCCTGAATCACCAATGCAAGTAGCGACGACCACGATTTCTTGGGGTTGGAAACATTCTGTGTTACAATTTTTAAGAATGTGAAATATAATGTTTGAAGGCAAATTATAGGATTATTTGTGTAATTTGCTGTCTACGATGTGATAATTTTCACTTTGCAGTGGTGGCAACAAACGCAAGTTGAGCTTAGCAATTGCTCTGATAGGCGACCCTCCTTTGGTGTTCCTTGATGAGCCGACAGCAGGGATGGATCCGGGCATTAGGAGGCAAGTGTGGGATGTCGTGATGGAAATAAGAGAATCTGGCAATAGCGTCATACTCACAACTCACAGGTAAGAACTTGCAGAAATAAGAAATTAGGCACTCTACTCATTCTTTTTCGTTTTGGTATTTATTTTTGGAAACCGTCTTTACTTTCACCTTCAAAAAGATTCTCATAGATCCCTTTAAGATATGACTATAGGGATCATTCTTTTCCCACACTCACACAGATAAAAAATTTCGAAGGAAAATTCACACTTCTATAAAAACGCATAAGTGAAATACATTTCTGTCTTTATTAAAAGGCTGGGTTAAAGAGAACTGTGTGTACATCTTAGAAATTATTTTGACAGATTACGTGTGGTATCAATAGAATAACCACATTTGTCCACAGTAATCTCCAGTTCACACTAGCTTTCTCTCCTCCTACCACCGACCGTCTGTGTCCATTTATATTTGTAGACATATTGCAAAAATAAACTTTTCCACTCCACCACATGAGTATCTCCAGTATTATCAAATGACAGTACTGGAGATGCTCATCTACTGCGGATGCGTCAGGTATATCAAGAAACGTTTTCTATTACTGCAAAAGAAAGAGCTCTCTGCTAGAACTTAAATTTCATAGGCAAGACACCTATCATTCCAGTCTTTCAATCGACCGAAGAGTTTACCTGGCGGTGGTGTTTCTAGTTGTTGTTCTTTCATTACAACAAAAAACTGGTGATACTACGGAATGACACAGACTTCTCGTACAGCTTTTTTTTCTAATTTATTTGGTTTGGGCTAGCTGTTTGGTCTTGCCCCATCCTCTTGCTAGTTGCCTCTATCGATGCCCAAAGTACATTTTTTACTTTCTCACCTTACTAAGTACGTACTTACGAAGAGAAAGTTACGTAATCGAGCGACGAAAAAGGCGATTTTTTTAATTTTCTCAGTGTTTGTGTCTTAATGGTAGAATCGAACTATTACGATAGGAATAATATAGAAAAATAAAACCTAATCCTACAAGAAAAGTGTCGTACAAAAATTTGGAATCATTTTTAAGACAATGTCGTTTAAGCCTTACTGTAAATGTGAAATTGAAAGGTCTTTTTCACAGAAAGTTTTTAAGTTTTCGTAAAATATCATTGAAAGTAATTTGAATTTCTTCTAATCACAAATGCAGTAATTTATACAATTCGCAGTAAAAGTGCATATTAACGGCTGAGAGTTATTTCAAGAAAATACATATGCGTAATTGTGGTTACTCGTTTGTAATATTTAATCTGAATTTTGAGCTCATTTTCACAGAAACATTTTGAGTTATGATAAACTTTATTAGACATCGTTTAAAGCACGTTTACTCATATATGCAATAATGTAAACAAATTGCCGTTAATGTAAATATTAACGACGTGAAAGGCAAGTCAAAACATTACATTTTTGTATTTATTTAAGAAAAAACAGCAATAAAACAATAGAGCAAAATTGACGTTTATATGATGAAGGGTGTAAAGGCATCAAGGGCCTATAAAACGTGGATTCTGACTACGCCACGTATTAGAGGAGTTTTTACTTTCCCGTATACGTATCTACATACGGAGTAACATACATAGTGTAGCATAAGTTATGTAATGCTGCTCAAAAAGGGTAAATACAATTGCTAAATTAAGAAAAAAGTCCTTTAACACGTGATGTAGCCAGAATCCCTGTTTCCTGGGTCCTTGAGACCGAAAAACCAATTGACGGCAAAACGTCTGTCCGTCTCGAACATCAGTGCCTAAACCGTACGTACAATTTTTTTCCAAATTGGATATTCCCCGACTGATCTAGCTTCACCTCGAGGCGCCGCGATTTTCAAATACTTTCTTCAAAATTTGGGGGTACTTTACATGAAGCTCCCGGACATTCTCAAAATTTTCTGAAAAACAGTGGCATAGGTCCTATTTTCACGTTTTTTTATGAAGGTGGCATAAGTCCTATTTTCACGGTTCTCAGAATTCTTGAAATTTCCACAAGTTTAAATTTTTGTGGTGTCTTCCCACAACTATAAAATCGAAAAGAAGAGATTTTTCCTTCAAATAAAATTTATTATTCGTAGCGAGTTTTTTCATTAAGGTCATGTACATTTTTTGAAAATTAGTTTTCGCGAAATATTCCGAGCAATAGGTGCATTTTAAAAAAATTACAAAAACTAGATTTTCTCACAAACGGCTCCAAACTTTTTCTTTATGCGTTTGCTAGGGATAGTACTAAATGCTCTCTCATGACATAAACGCCATATTGCTCTATTCTATCTTTTTCTTCAAAATTAGACAAATGTATTTTTTTACTTGTCTCACGTCGTTAGTATTTACATGAACGGCAATTTGTTCACATTATTGTATTTATGATTACATGTGCTTTAAATAATATCAGATAAAGTTTTCTGAAAACTCACAATCGACATTCCAAATTTTCAGAAACTTAACATTTCAAGTTTTCAGAAACTCAAAAGACATTTCCTCAAAAACAGCTCCATTTTTTTCTTTCAACTTTTTTGAATGAACTAGTGCACACTGCACTGTTTATGATGACATTGAATTAATTTTGCTATATTCTTTTGATTTTTCAAAAATTACACAAATGTAAATTTTTTCAATATCTTCCATGCCTTTAATATAGACATTTCCAGTGATTTGTAAATACTACTGTACTTGTGACTGGAAGTGCTTAAAATGAATTTATATGAATTTTTTTGAAATTCAATAGTTTTCAGTGAAAAGAGGTTCAAATTTCTCATTTACAGTAGTGCTTAAATGCCATTCTCTTAAAAAGAGCTCCAAATTTTTCAAAGAAAATTGCCATGAAGAGTGAGATTTAGTGTTTTTTTAAAGTCCTTAAAATAATATTTGTGTTTGACTCTCATGAAACAGAAAATTAAGAAAAATGTACTTTGGGTGGCGATAGATGGCAGCTGGCAATAGTACGAGGTATGTGACAAGTCCGAATGGCTAGCAGAAACCAAAGGAAATAGCAAACTAATACAGAAAAGTCTGTGACATTCTGTTGAACCACTAGTTTTCTATATTTAGCTAGTGGATTTATCCACTTTTTTGTTACCATGGCCCGGCAATAACTTTTGGGTCGGCAAAAACACAATGTATTTTCCTACAGCATTACAATACTTTCTCTAAACTGCATAAGCAGTAGTGTGAAATTAATAAATGCTACGCTCAATACTTTTACCTGCTATATATTTTATTTTCTATTCACGCAGAAGTACATTACAATAAAATAAATGTACAGTATTTTTATAGCATGGAGGAATGTGAAGTTTTATGCACGAGACTGGCAATCATGGTCAATGGAAGCTTCCGATGTTTGGGCCCAATCCAACATTTAAAGAATAAATTTGCTGAAGGATACACTCTGATTATCAAAGTGAAGGCGGGAGCCAATGTGCCACAGAGAACCGATAAAATTAAGGAATTCGTTCGCACAACTTTTACAGGTAACTGTTGACAGATAAATATAATATGGTCAGAAAAAAAATATTCTTGTGAAAATATTAAAAGAGTTCTATTAAATTTATCAAGCCATTTCCAAATACAAAATATTTGACAAAAAAACAAAAAGTCATAAGTTTTCAAATTACCAGTTACAAGGTAAGTAATCTTTATTTTTTCAGTTCTGCTGCGTATGTTGGAAAGTTTTTTACCATTTTTTGTACCATATAAGTACATTAATAAATTGTCACATGACCAAATTAATACAGATAAAAAACATTTATTACGATATCATTCAAACTTGATTTAACACATTGCTCTCTCTAACACAACATTTAGAGCCGGTGCCAGTTATTTTATGTTTAAACATATTTAAGTAGAATAAGTTATTGCATTAAATGAATAGAATGTTTTTCATTTCTAATTATTATAACATTGAAATTAGGGGATTTCTGTCTTGACACATAATAACTATATTTTCAAATGTTGAAGATTAACTATATGCAACTTCAATGATGCATTAAAAATGTAAAAAAGTAATTTTAAAAATGTTCTTGTTTAAAATTATCTCTCATATCCATGACTATTACATATTATTCAATTTTATTTTCCAATCATGAACAGAGTGGATTGTAAATTATGTATTTGATAATGCAATCATGTTATAGAAAAATTTGAATCAGAAGTCAAAAATTAATTTGGTAAATTCTATTTTCTAAAACTCTCTTGTTGTTGTAAAACTTCAGGTGCGGTTCTCAAACAGGAATATGTTAGACTCTTAACATATCACATTCCAAGTAAAACATACCCTTGGTCTCAAATGTTTGGCATTATGGAAAAATCTAGGAAACAACTTGATATTGAAGATTATTCTCTTGGTCAGACAAGTCTAGAGCAGGTATTTTTATGAAATGTTCAGTAGAAATTTTCTTGGTATTTCTAAATTATGTTTTGTTTAATACTTTTAATTAAAAAGTTATTGGATACAAATTTAATGTTTGTGTCTGCTTGTTCCCCAGGTTTTTCTTCATCTGGCAAGCCTCCAAAGGATCTAAAGTACTAAAGTAACTCAAAGATCTAAAAAAATGACTGAAGGACATTAGTAATCAAGAACATTATATTTTTTTTATTTTATTTTTCATCTTTAAGTTTCACTTCACAATAAATCATATTTTTTTCACTTTTAATAATAAATTATATTCACAGTCAACAGGATTAGCTATGGCCTCTTAACTTTTCCTTCTCTCTGTACATGCATCATTTTGAGAACAACATATTTAACAGCTTGTACCCTGTCCTCCAAAACAGCTACAAATTTTTTTCCTTCATGTTTTCTCCAAATTTTTAATAAGGAATGGTAATAAATATGGTGCTAGTCTCATTTTCAGGTATTGATAAGCGATTTCATAATTCTTTTCTTTTCAAAAATCAAATCTTTTCAGTGTTCAAAATTGAAGATAGAGATTTTTGTCTCAGACAAAGTCTGTTGTACAAAATTCGCTTTTCAAAAAAGGTCATATACAATTTTTTAAACTAGTAGTTTTGCGTAATTTCTGATTGAAATTAATGAAATATATATAGATTTCAAACTAACTATGGACCATCTTTCATTTATAGCAAAAATGACACTTTTAGAAAGAATTCATAAGAAAATATGGCCCCATTGTTGGCAGTTGCCATCGCTGCAAGTGCGCTTTTTTGGTCACTGAAATGTGTTGATATAGACAGAAATGCCATATAATATTATTACATAACCATAACTAAGGGATGAGAAAGTATGTGCTGTTCCCTACCAGGGCGTGGCAATAAGAAATTTTTGTCAATAATAAAGCCACTATCTAAACACGTAGGTCCATGTTTTACAAAACACAATATTTCTGAATCTTACAAAACCTTAAACTACCTCCAATCTTTATTCTCCAGTTCCAAATCACCTAACCCATCTGTGCATTGAAAGAAGTGGCCTTGCATGTAATAACTGTAATTCTGTAGGCCAAACAAGCAGAAAATTTTCCTGCAGAATTAATTAACATATTAGATGTTGAAAACAAAATTTAGATACTCAACCTTTGTTAACCATGTGATTTAAATTTAAATCCTTTACTTAGCCATCAAAGGCAAAATAATGAACATTTTGGAAAATTTAGAAATTATAAAACAGTTCAAAAATCCTAATTTTTTTTATCCTGAATGACCATTCCTTAATAAAAAGCAGTCCCATTTAAAATCTTTTTATTGACTAGCATGTTCTACTCTTCCAGTCCCCCCTTCATTTATAGTTCCCTCATTTCACTTCCCCCATTCTACAGGATTTTACAGGCCTTCTAATCTTTTCCAGCTTATGCTGTAATGTTTAAGTATGATCCATGTTGCTTGGGTAGTAAGTAATTTTTAATTTTTATTTATTTATTTTTAATTTACTTATTTTTATCTCAAATTTTTGTTATATTTTTTGCTCTCATACTTAGTTATTTTATCATTTTCCTCTCCATGTTTTAGACCCACTGAAGATGGGAAAATTGTCTTTCCTGCAATTAAATTTTGGGAGGTTGTAATAAATATAACTGTTTTTATTGAAGTTGATTATTTTCTAATTCACATTATGGAGTACCTCAAGATATCTACAAACACTACAGAATTTCTATCTGTGAAATTTCAGGGAATATTTTCAATATAGATTTGAATGTCTCTGGCTTCAATATTCGTTCTTCACATACTTTTCCCCCTTGAATTTTACAGTGAAGACAAGTGGGAAATTTTGCTACCATTGTCACAGTAACATTCACTAGTGATCCGAATGTATGAAACAGTGCTGTCTGAAAACATGCATTTTTTTCTAATTTTACAGAATAATTCGTTTCTAAGTTAGAAAGTTTTAGCAAAACTTTAAACTATACTACTAGAGGAGCTAGCAGCCCTTTAAGCAGTGGATTTTAGGGGATACTTTGTTTGATTGCTGTGCCGTATTAAAGCATGGGCCTGGGCCCTCAATGTTCAAGAGGCCCTAATAGTACTTAAAACATATAATACTAAATTTTTCAAAAAATAAAGCAAAAAAACTATAAGAAGTGATGTATGATTAAACTAGACACAAAAAATAGGCCCAACGGAGTGATGTAGAACATCATTTAATAATATTTATAATCTGAAATGGTGCTGGTTGATGTGTTTCAATTTTATACTATACAATTCAATAAAAAATGAAAACTATTTAATATGTTGTCTTCTTCAATGTAATTATAAATTTGTTATTCTTTTTATACACATATGTTTAATTTTTTTGGTTTATATACTGTTAAATTGAAACACTAAGAAATACTTTCACAATATTTAAAAAAAAATACAAAGTACAATATGAATTAATAATATTTTGTTTATATTTTTGCATCAAAATTTGGGGGGGGGGGAGTAAGAATAGGAGGTACCCAATACTGTTAACACAACCTTGTTTGATTGTTGCCATCTCTTAAGATTTCATTTCATTTTCATGAGTATTACTGTACTTTTTAAAATAAATTTGCAAACAAATTTGCTACGAATAGTATTGCCTTGGAACTTATCAAATTAGAAGAACTTCACACAAATGAGAGTAATGTTATAGAATTAATAGGACATTTACGTTTGATTTCTACATTTACGTTCTTAAACGTTCAAATACCGGTTTTCATATGAATGTGGAAAACAACTTATCTCATTAAACTTAAATAACACCTTATTCACATAAACATACAAAAAACTCTCGTTTAATGTTTACATAGATTCACCTACTATTGGATTAATAGAGCAATTGCAGAAGTAGAAGAAACAAAATGTTGTGGAATTTTTTCTCTTTAAAAATTAGGGGACAAAAAAAAATGGAAGTGTTAAGCAAATCCAGCTAAAAATCAAATACAATTGTAGCTGATTTTGTGAAAGAATTTTTGGAACTAATTGAGAATTATCTTAGTAGAGAGTATCATCGAAGAACAACATACAGGTGTTTTTATGTCCACTTTCATAAATACTAGCAAAAAAAGCAAAACTTTTACTAAATTCAAACTATTCACATCATCCATACCAGCAAGTAATCTTTACAGCGATCATGATCTGCAATATTACCAGTTCATATTCCTTATGGAAGTAACATACAAGGCATTGGATGTTGGGAATTTTTGAACAGGAATATAACATTAGAACAACATGGGGCAGGAGTCCGCAGTTTTTATAAAATAGTGAGTTTCCACTTGTGTAATTGGTATACAGATTCGGTTTTACACAGAGCTATGCTTAATATATTAAGAATAAACTATCCAAACATGAATGGCATATCTTGAAATTTAATGTTTAAACACAACATTAAAGATGGAAGTGCAGTGTTTGGACTTTTGCCGTACGTGCGGGGTAAAAGTCCCTAACAAAAGGAGCATATCTGAATATACAAAACATCAAAACTTCCTTAGAAATATATTGCTTACATGGTTCATACACATTCAATTAATGTAACTTCAGCTTCATTAGTAAATGATCTTCTCTCTCTTTCCGTCTCTTTCTCTCTCTCCCTCCTCCCTCCTCTCTCCTCTCTCCCTCCTCCCTCCTCTCTCTCTCTCCTCCCTTTCTCCTCACTCTCCTCTCTCTCTCTCTCCTATCGATCTCTCCTCTCTCTCTCCTCACTCTCCTCTCTCTCTCTCTCTCCTATCGATCTCTCCTCTCTCTCTCTCTTACATCGTCATCTTCAGCTATTATCATCTGGTCATCTGTAAATAGACTGAACTCTGTTTCGTCACCTATTTTCACCCACATTCTTCTGCGCTTTCTTCTGCATTCTTTTA